TTTTTCACCATTTGTGCATCAAAGGGTTGTATCTAGAAAAAGGGAGGAAAACATTTTCTGTGGAAAATTTCGCATATCAAACAGTCAAAAAAGTGAAATTTTTCTACTTCCCTAGAAAACTTCGCCAATCAAACGGAGCCTTATAAAATCTTTTGAAAAAGGGGAAGAATCGATATATATATATAGCCAGTAGGGGTTAGCATTTTTACCTGAAAACATCCAACTATAATCGTACCAAATTGAACAAATCTGTGCAGTTCGGTTCTAGTTGAAATTGGTTTGGTTTTAGATCTTAGAATTGAGATCCGTACGATTTTGGTCTAGTTATTGATACTAGTTATGGAACCAAATTTTATTGCTAATGAAAAAACAGGGATCAGACTGCCCGTCCGCTTCCTCTTTTTTATCTTTTTTTTTTCAGAAAGAATGTAGATGTTGGGAGCTCTGACAATAATGACAATTGGTCATTTATTGGTCATCACATGTTTCGAATAAGGACCATGCTAGTGGTACATCAATATCTACATCGAGGGTTACACCCCGCTCACATGGGGGTGGGGTCCACTCGAATAAAAAAATATTATTTCAATGGTCCCACCATCCATGGGGGTAGAGCATGTTTGAGTCGCATATTTTTTTTAAAAAAAATTTGGCATAAAATGCATATTGGAATAATGATTTGATGGAAAATGTGTGATTAAATAATAAAGAAAATGTGTTGTTAAAAATAAGAGAGAAAAATATATTTTGAAAATAATGAGTACCAAACAAGGGTTAATTAATCCCCAGATCGAGCGAGAGCCACCAAACAAAAAAGTCTCTTTAGAGATATGGGTGAAATATTACACAAGCTTGTAACTCAGATGGAAATAGCCTAGTCTACGAAGCAGAGCACTCCCAAAGCTTAAATAGAACTTATAAAAACGAATGTTTAAATTTTATTTTTCCTTTACTAAAGAAGAGAAGGAAGTTACGAAATTGGATTGGAATAAGAAATCGAGGTCTTCGTACATCTCCATAGACTTTTCCTTTACTAAAGAAGATAGTGAAGTAACAATAAAAAACGAAAATCGCTTAAATATCTCTCGTTTAAATTATTAACGTTTTAAAATTATTAGACGACGGTGATGAAAGATTAACAAACAACATAAGACTGTCAAATCTTAACAAGAATAGTGCAGACGTATCTATAAACTTTTCAAACTCACAATAGAGATTTAATTTGTTTTTTGCATTTTAATTTATGATTTTTAGTCAGTTGAGAAACGAAGAACAAATCCACTTACCCACAAAGGAAATGAGGAAGTATAGATAGCATTACAAAAAATTGCACAAACACATAAAGGACAACATGTTTGTTTCCACAACACATTAGAACCCCCCTATATTGGGCAACAATGGACGCAACAATAACTCTTTAATTCAGGAATACCAAAGTTCCATGGTAGGACTACAAAGGAAGATTCTTTTCATTCAACAACATAAATTAAAGAAAATAGCGATAATAAAGTAGTCGACTACTTTCCCATCATTTCTCCTT